GAAGCGAGGCCAGACCAGAAGCGAGGCCAGACTCTGTGTCGTCGTGTTGGCTTAAGGCCAAAATCCGATTGTCACTGCTGCCGCTGCCACAGTTGGTAGCGGAGCCGGTTCGGTCCGGGGCCATGGGCTGCGGGGCGCGCAGCTGGCTTCCACCGGCCGGGCGGGGCGGTCCACGGCATGACGGGAGGAGCAGGGTCTGCTCCGAGTGACGACACAGGGTTCGCGGCGGCAGTCATTCCCCAGGAGACGCAGGCGCGGCAGACCGCGCCAGAAACACCTCTTAAAGTTTCAGCCCAGCAGCTCGAAGAGTTGATCGCCAGCGTAGTCCGAAGGACTATGGACGCGGGAGGGCAACCCGCGACGGGAAACGATCCTTGGCAGGACGGGCAAGAGGCAGCACGACAGCCGCCAGCAGCAGCAGCAGCAGCAGCAGCAGCAGCAGCCAGCAGTTCGGACGAGAGCCGAGATGTGTGGAAGGATTGGCAGGCGTCCGAAGACTGGCAGACCGACAAGTGGGACAAGCCCGAGTGGGAGAAGTCCGAGTGGGACAAGTCGAAGAGGGACTGGTCCAACTGGGACCAGTGGCAGAGTGGCAGATGACTCGGGAGAGATGGAACCGCAACACTGATGTTCTGACTTGGCGACGATCAGAAAAAATCCGTCGGTTATTCGATTGGAATATGCAGATGCCTTTCGAAGACATTCCCGAGAATATCCTTGTCGGATCGAGTTGGCTAGAGGCAGTGCTAGCACGAATAGATCTAGAAGTAGGCGAGCGGGAAGGGGACGATCTTCGCCGGTCAGGACGATCTTCGCTTTGTCCAAAGGAAACTCTCACTCAGTATGTCGGCAGGCGAGAATCTCAGTTCTCCGAGGCCGAGGGGAACGATATGTGGCTGTCCCCTAAGCTCAAGGGACTCATGCTTGAGGAGGGTGCGCAGCTGTCCTCCCAGTCCATGCAGAATTTGCGCACCCTGACTCGTGGGAAGCTAGAGTGCGACAGTGTAGCATGGGCACTGCGACATATGGGCGCGTCCGGCAGCGGGACCACGGCAAGCATGCTCGCAGGGGTCGAGAAGGCTGAAGAGCTTGATTCGACTTTTGGCGCAGCTCAGTCCTCCTCTCCCTCTTTTCCCTCTGGTAGGTTCGGTGAAGGTGGTGACCTGGATTGCCGAAGACGAGGTTGACGACTTCGACGAGGAGGCCGACGCAGACGTGCTGCTTGCCGAACTGGAGGATCTCGACCTCCACGAGGACCAAGTCGACGAGGCTCTTGCAGCCCTCGAGGAGAGCAGGCCGAACGACAGGACGTTGAAGCATAACAAGGAGATGAAGATGGCTGCTAGACGGGGCCGCGAGTACTTCGGCGGTCAGGGCCGAGCCGGCGGGAGGGCTCCGCCGCCGTCCTCCGGGCGCTTCCCTGGGCGGGGGCGCGGCCGCGGCCGGGGGCGCGCAGGCCGCGGGCGGAGCTCAGACCAGACCCGAGGCCGCTTGTCGATCGAGGCCCTCATGGAGATCACCAAGTGCAAGTTGTGTCATGAGAAGGGCCACTGGGGCCGCGAATGTCCGATGTTCGGCAACAAGGGGCGGCCCGACCAACAACCGGAGACATGATCTCGCAGGATGCACATGTTGTGTTGTCGAGGGTCTGAGCGCGGCCGAGGTGGCGGACGATCAGCTGTCAGCTTGGCGCCGAGTTCAGGCATGTATGCAGCAGACCGGGGACTGCCTGGCCGCTCTCCCCACTCAGGCGCTGGGCGACCCTGGGGCAGGGAACGACCTGGTGGGCATCGGGGCGCTCAACAGGGAGTCCCAGGCACTGGCGAATCAGGGAATGTGTTTGATGTGATCCCAATGGACCTCCAGCGCCCTCGAGCCGCCCGCGGAGTTATAGGTCCGGCTCGAGTGGTCTGCAGCATTTTTTTCCTCTTTGCATGACCAGCGTTCTCGGCGTAGTCGAGAGTACCGTTCTCGAGGGTGATGTCCCGCGCGTCCTCGGCGTGAATTTGCTTGATTTTCTAGCGTGCGTCATCGATTTGCCTCAGAGAGGAATCGCCCTCTCGCGGCTGGGTTCGGGCCACCGCGTGGCGACGATAGTTCAGGAGCTGGGCGCTCCGCTCAGGGTTCCCGACTCAGCCCGACGCCATTATCCTTCTTTGGCGACGATGCGTTCAAGCTTCGGGGCGGATCTCCGCCGGCGCTGTTCAACAGCGGAGAGTTGCAGTGCTGCGTCGTCCTCGTCGGGGCCATGCTCTCATCACCATCTCCATCGGCATCGTTCTGTGGTTGAATTTCGCGTCCGCCGAGCTCCCGAAAGACTTCCAGAACGACGGGGGCCCATCAAAGGACCCCGAGGGGAGCCACTAGGACATCATACAGGACGCCAGGATAGAGGAGAATATCCCCAGAGCATGGATTCCCAGGACTCAGGTGATCCTAGTGGGCCGCCAGGGCCTCCTAGACGCAAACCTCATGAAGATCTTCCAGAGGATCCCCGGGCCACAAGCACAGTGAGTCACCCACGGGTCGATCGCGGGCTTAGAATGCTCTCGAGAAGCTAAGGCGATGCTCGGGCAGAGGGCCGACGTCGCAGGGCCCCAAGGGCTGTTGAGAGATCCGGCACCGGCGTTCGAGTTTGTTTCTTGCATCCTTTCCGTGGCCCTTTTTAGCTCGAGCTTTAGCCTCTCCAGCGATCGTCCACGTATCGCCAGGAAGTCTAGTCGAGCGGCTCCCAGAGCCAATGATTGTCCTCGCGGTGCTCCGCGCGGTGCTAGTGGGCCTCCTGTGCAGCTCGTTTTCGGAGGCAGGCGACGCAGGAGGGGGCAGGCGTCCGCCGAGGAAGAATCCGCCAAGAGCTCAGGAGGCCACAGAAGAGTATCTCAGGAACTGCCGCGGGGAGACGATCCCGGAGGAGGACGGCAACTCGTCCAGCGAGACCGCGATCCCCGAGAACACCGCGGAGGCGATGGGGGCGACGGCTCCCAGTCGCGGGAGGCCCCCGTGCAGCCTCCGCCAGCCGAGGGAGGCATCTCGGCCGACATGCCGCCGCTGCCGAAGCCCAAGCCGGCGCCGGGAGGGCTGCCGCCGCCTCCGAGCACGCCTCTGGGATACGGGAGTATGCCTAAGGCGACGGGGTGGTTGCCGCCCACCCAGGGCAGTTCTTCAGCATCGGGGCCGACGGTGTCACTGTCGGGACCTGCGGCAGGAAATCCACCCCCGAAGAGTGTTGCGAAGCCACCTCCAGTGACGGGAGAGGGCTGCGTCCATCCCATCCATTCGATACGCTACAACGGCAACCAGTGGGGCAGCGGTTCCCGATGCGCGAGATGCAACGCGCGCCTGGTCCGGGTCCCGAGGGGCGAGGAGCGTCCTGGCACGGGGGCCGAGGACCGTCCGCCATCGGCAGCCGAGGCAGCTCGCGCCGCGGCTGTTGCGGCCCAGAGGGCAGTGGAGCTGTTGCAGCAGCGGGGCGGCTTCACTCCCGGGGGCGCAGCGCTGAACGCGATCAACTCGCTGAACGCTCCAGGGAAGTCTCCGCTGGCAGCTGGAGCACGTGCCCGAAGCAGTGAAGTCCCTCAACAACGTTCAGACCGTCCTGGACCAGATGATGAACCACGTCACCAGTGCGCCTACAATCCCACCGAGATAGAGGAGGGGCTGGCGAGCATCTACTAGCAGCTCGACGGCCTTCAGCGAATGCTTGGCAGTTTCGAGGAGTTCGGGGAGACGCTCGACTCCGCCCACGCGGCGGTGGAGACGCTGCGCGGGGGGGTGTTCAACGTCCAGCAGGTCCTGAACCAGATGGCCCAGATGCTGGTGCAGATTGGCACCAGCGTGGCAGCGTTGGTGGCCAACGCGAATCAGCAGGACCTGCAGCGGCAGCCTCCGCCTGCGAAAAGGGGCGCGAAGGCCCGTCGCAGGGGCCCGGAGGGCCGTCAGTCACGACGACCACCACTGCGTTTCACTCGCGGTCCGACGGCCGCTGGGAGCTGATCTAGGACGGCTCGCCAGCCAGCTGGCCGCGCCGCTTGTTTCGTGTCCTCTCAGCTCTCAGGCTGTCCGCCAGTTTTGCCGGGCGCGAAGGCTTCGCCCCCGGGGAGGCGATAGGGCAATGACGCAAACTCAAGGGGCTCCCCCAGAGACCCACCGTTCGGTGTCAAGGGCCAGAAGGGCCCAGTCACCCGGGGTGCTGTGGGACCCAATGAGACCCCTTAGAGAGCCCCGAGACCTTCTGGCTGGATGGTGGCCGTCTGAATGATGACCATGAGGCCCCGTGGGGGGCGAGAGTCCGAGGGGCTCTTGCGATTGTGGCGGCAGACAAGCTCCCTGGCAAGGGCCGGGATAAGCGTTTGTGGCTAAATCTCAGTCGAAGGGACGGACTTCGTTCTTCGAGATCTTCCCCCCTCCACGCATCGCCCCAGAGGTAGAGCAGCGAGGGGGAGGTCTGGGTTCCGTTCCCAGTAGGGACCTGGTTTTAGGGTGGGATGCTTCGGGCCCCAGGCATGTCAGGGACCTCTGGAGGCAAATTCGCAGCGAGGGGCCCAACTTTATTTGGATGTCCCCCGAGTGTAGAGTGTTTTCGGCGATCAACCGACTCAACAAGAACAAGCGCGATCCCGATCGATGACGCTGCGAGGTCTCGGCTGGAATTCGGGGCCTGATCTTGTGTGCCGAAATGGCGGCTTAGCAGGTTGATCAAGGCCGCTATTTCGCCTGGTGCGGAAGCCGAGGGAGAGAGTGGGGGGGTGGGGATGAGCCAGATATTAGGAGCCCTCCCAGGACCAGGCCAGGCCTCCCTCCAGACCACGAGCCATCGGAGGAAGAAAGGAGGTTCGTCTACAAGCTCCACGTTAACATGGGTCACCCCGAGAACCGAAAGTTTTGTCGAGTCCTTCGTGCTGGGGGGTTAAGCCATATTGAGGGCGTTGGGCCCGGGGCAAGTTTCGATGCGATGAGTGTGTCGATCGCCAGAAGATCAGTGACCATCGCCGAGTGGCCATGCCACGGACGTTCAGATTAAATCATATCGTGGCGGTGGATGTTTTCCATATAGATTTGCAAGCTGCCACTTATCCATTCTCAGCGTCGTGGACCACGCTTCGAATCTCCAGAAATGTATCCGGATTCCGAAGGCTAGGGCCGCCGACGTGTGGCGAGCCTTTTTCGGAGTGTTGGTTGCGCCCGTTTGGCTCCCCCCATTTCCTGATGTCTGACGGAGGACCCGAGTTTGGCGAGAGTTTTTCCCGGGGCCTTGGACAGTGGGGGTCCGACACCATGTTTGCGACGCGGATTCGCCGTGGCAGAACGGACGGGTTGAGAGACGTGGAGGATGGCTGAGGTCGAGTCAGGTGCCTCGTTTGTTTCTTCCCTTGAGGACCTGGACGAACTGACCTGGGTGGGAGCTAGTCTCTCACAAGAACCGTTCCTGGCACCGTGGAGGATTTTTTTTTTGTGCAGTTAGTCTTCGGTGGGAACCCCAGATTACCTCGCGACATCCTCAGCGGCGATGTCGCCATTCCAGGATGGCATGACATTGTTCGACCCCCTTCCGAGTAGGGCCCTGCCGGGACCGAGCTCGCCCGCGCTCGGCGTGTTAGGGGGGCTGTCGGACGTCTGGCCCTCGAAGCCATCTCCCGGGACAAGGTCAGTCGCGCGGCCCACTCCCGACTGTCGGCTCCTAAGACCTTCAGTGCCGGGCAGTGGGTGTGCGTCTGGCGTCGTCTCGCGAGGAGCTTCTCGAGGGCCGACGCTGTGGGGCGACGAAGAGATGGGTGGGTGGGCCCGGGGGTCGTTCTCCTTTGCGAAGGGGGAATGGTCGCCGTCAGCGCCCGACCCTGGAAACGCTCTCTCGAGTAGGTTCGTCTAGCCAGTCCCGGCGAGGAGTGCGGTATTCAGCTCGCTCACAGCCCCCAGTGGCGGGAACTGGTCCGGAAGCCCCGTCGATGTCCAGAGAGAGGGGCCTGTCGGAGAGGAAGCATGGGGCGATGCCATCTGTGATCGATCCGACACGGCTCCCCAGATTCGCCAAGCCGAGGTCGAGCCTCGAGAGGCTCAGCCCGAGGTTTCCCCGGCTTCCGTGGTGGGAATTCCGCCGGGCCTGGCCCTTCCCGCGGGGCCTCGGGGCCAGCCCCGGGGGCGACGACGACTCGATGTCGGCTCAGCCAGGCTCGACTCAGACGAGGGCCCTGGAGGATCCGCGAGCAGCTCGTCATCTCCCAGCGAGCCCTCTCGCCGACTGTCGGAGATAGAGCTGCAGCCCGAGGAAGGAGGGGGGCGCGAGGATGAGGCAAGTGTCGCAGGCGGTCGTGGAGTCTCGCCCTTTCTTTCCCCTCCTCTGCCGCCTGTGCAACTCGTCTCCCAGGGGGAAGAGAGCAGGATTCGGAGCCGGTTGGCGAACGACGTTCCGCTGTGTTTTCGGAGGCCCCCAGAGGCCAGCCCCCCCGGGGACGGGTCAGACCCAGAACCTAGGCGGCCCCGGACAGGAGAATCCGAGTCGCCCGGAGGACCAGCCACCTCCGGCCCTCCTCCCGAGACCGGCCGAGAGACCCAGCGCCGAGTCTCGGAGTTGGTGGGCGAGATCGAAGGCAGGTCACGGCGGCGAAGCCGCTCTCCGGCGCCAGAGCGCACACCCCCGGAGGATGGGGAGGGAGAGGATTTCTTTCTCTGTGGTGGTGGTGGTGGGGTCCAGGCCAGGTCCGTCCATGGCAATTTCAGTTTCGATGGCGGCGGCGACGATCGCGACGACGTCCTGGCTGCCAGTAGGGGGGGGGGGGTCTGTCTGAGGAAACTGAGCCCAGACGAGAGAGCCAAGTTTGCGTTGTTTGATGAGGGGGGCTGAGAATCTACGATGAGCGCCGGGGCGACCGAGATCATCCCGCCTTTGCAAGCGGATGTTGTAAGGAAGTCTCGGCGGGAGCGCATCATCTTCAGTAGGATGGTTAGGCGCTGGAAACCAGTTGAAGGGACGTTTCAGGCACCCGACGCCAAGTCGCGCTGGTGCGTCCACGGCCACCGCGACCCGGACTCGGGCTCCCATCCAGGTGTACGCTCCTACTCCTCAGACGAGCAGTATCCTGATGTTTATGCGGGTCCTAGCTAACTGCGACATGTATGCTGCTATCGCTGATGTGAAGAACGCATTCTGTCAAAGCAATCCCATGCCGAGGTCGCGAGGTCAGATATACGTGGAGCCTTGCGAAGGTATTGACAGTCCGAAGGGGGGCCTCATCCTTCTCAGGGTCAACGTGTATGGTCTCGATGATGCCCCTGTTGCCTGGAGACGTACGGTTACCAGTTATCTTGAGAAGCGCGAGTTCACCCTGGTTGGTGGGTTCGACCCTGGTTGGTGGGTTCGGGGCGGTCCCGGGGGCCAGATATTCAACGTGATCGTGCGAGAGGTAGACGCCTTCTTCATGGGCAGCTCTTCTCACTAGACCAGGTCCTGGGTACGCGCGACCATGGAGAAGAGATTTTAGTTTGGAATGTATTGCGGCTGTCATG